TATAACTTGGCATACAAATAGACTACACTAAGATACATAATTCTATATATCGGTTTTTGATTTCGATAAACGGTGTTGCCGTGGTAACTAAAAATAGAAATTTCTGTGAAATTTCTTTCAAAATGCTACTCCTCCTACAGTTTTGGTCTGATTTCAATATAACTTATCACACAAGTAGATTACACTAAGATACATAATTCTGTGTATCGGTTTTTGTTTTCCATGAACGGTGTTGCCGTGGTTACAAAAAATAGAAATTGCTGTGAAATTCTTTCAAAATGCTACTCCTCCTACACTTTTGATCTGATTTCAATATAACTTGGCACACAAGTAGACTGCACTAAGATACATAATTAGGTTTATCGGTTTTTGATTTCCATGAACGGTGTTGTCATGGTTACTAAAAATAGAAATTTCTGTAAAATTGTTTCAAAATGCTACTCCTCCTACAGTTTTGGTCTGATTTCAATATAACTTGGCACACAAGTAGACTACACTAAGAACATAAAAAGACTTTATTATTGCTGTTGTAAAGTTTCAATTCCCAATTGCTTAAGTACTTTTCTCTTCCTTTGCCATAAGTACAAACCAGTAGAGCTTCAGTCTCGACAGAGACTTCTGGTTTTCGAAGTTGTAAAGGTTTTACAGGAAGTATTCTTTCATATTAGATAGGAAAATTTTGATATAATTGAGATTTAATTATTCACCTTCTTGTGTGTCACGTTGTAGGCTCTTCGCTCGTCATGTTCACCCATCTCCTATAGGAATCCTGTAAAGATATGACAAACCAGACAATGTGTATTGGCAGGAATCCTTAAACCTTTTATGAAACAGGATCAAAGCTTAGTATGCCGTTATTATGACCCTAAATTATACGTCAAGTAAAAACACTGAAAGGTCAAGGTCAAAGAGGTCAACCTACAAAAATTCCAATAAAAAACCCAAAGATTTGTGGGCGGAAGCAGACAGTGATTACTTTTATAAGGTACATTTATATGTATATCTTTGTGGGGACCAGCAACACATCTTGTACAGATGTGACGTTATGCTACAGCAAATTTTAAAGTCTTGATATCTATTTATTCAACATGACTATGTTGTTCCTTAAGATCAAAAGGCTCCGAAATTCTCACTGTTACTGTATCGCAACTATCAGGATTTTAGAGTGTAACAATGTTCTTAATTTAATTAAACTAGGTGAAAAGGTGTCATTAACTTGATTCAAGGTCAATATTTAAAAATCTAGGTCATATTGCTCAGCTCATGTTGTGATGTTTTAGGAATGGTAAAAGAAAAGACATTGCAGCATAATTAATGAATTATAATTCAAAACTCGTTTGTTAACTAATTTAGGAGAATACATGTGCAACTAGAACTGTCCAAACGGGACAAAATACCCCCGCAGGGTTTTTCAGAGGTGCCAAATCATGAATATTTTATGTATCTAAGAGAAGAGAGAAATGCTAAAACATTTTCAGTGCAGTGTATTTGCTCAATATATTCTTTATGAATGAAACGAAGGTGCAGATTAATAAAAAAAAAAATAAAGGCTAAAGATACAGACCAGACACGAATTATGAACTTTTTCTGTCAGTGACCTTGAACTTGCATAATTGACCTTGGTTCAAAGTCATGACACAACCTCAGGTCATAAGCAATTTTTGTGTAAAATGGGAACTCACCACGTTTATCCATAAGACAGATATGGACCGGACATAAATTATGAATTTTTCCTGTCAGTGTCCTTGAACTTGCACAAATGACCTTGCATCAAGGTCATAACACACGCTAAGGTCATGAGGAATCTTTGTGTGATATAAGACTTACCAAGTTTATCCATAAGCAAGATATGGACCGTACATGACTTATGAATTTTTTTCTTTCAGTGACCTTGAACTTAAATGACCTTGGCTCAAGGTCATAACACACCCTCAGGTCATAAGCCATCTTTGTGTGAAGTAGTAGATTCAAGTTTTTCCATAATAAAGATATGTACCAAACATGAATTATAAAATTTTTCTTTCAGTGACCTTGAACTTGCAGAGATGACCTTGGGTCAAGGTCATGACACACCCTTAGGTCATGAGCAATCTTTGTGTGAAATAGGAACTTATCAAATTTATTCATGAGAAAGATATTGACTGAACACGAATAATGAAATTTTTCTTCTAGTGACCTTGAACTTGCCCAAATGACCTTGGGTCAAGGTCTTAAGCAATCTATGTGTGAAGTAGTTGATTATAATGTTCCTCCGTAAGAAAGATATGGACCGTACACGTACTACAGACTGTCGGACAGCTAGACGGACGGACGGACGGACAAGCTGATTCCTATATACCCCCCCTTAAACTTCGTTTGCGGGGGGTATAACTATGTACTTAGTTAGTTTATTTAATGCCCAGAAGCAGAGAAGAAGATATTCAAAGAATTAATGCATTTTCAGAATATTTTATTAATAGAGCCCCACCCTAACACAAGAATCCCTGACCCTGGGGCCTTAAAATTCACAATTTTGGAAGAGGCACTCTTGCTCATCATAACTATGTACTTAGTTGGTTTATTTAATATCCAGGAACAGAGAAGAAGATTTTCAAAGGAATAATACATTTTCACTATATAATCTAAAAACCCCTTACCCCAGGGCCATGAATTTCACAATTTTTGTAGCGGACTCAATGCTCATTACATTCATGCCAACAGTTTGACTGCTTCATGCATGTCCAGGAGCAAAGAAAATGATTTTAAAGATTTCATTAACTTTAGTGATTTTTGTCCCACCCCTCAGGCCCCAGGGGGCAGGGACCATAAAATTCACAATTTTTGTTCCCCTTCATCCATAGATGCTGCATACCAAACTTTGTTGAAATTGGTTCCGTGGTTTCAGAGAAGAAGCTGAAAATGTGCAAATATTAACACACGACGGACGACGGACGATGACGGACAAAAACGCATAGCAATAGGTCACCTGAGTGACTCAGGTAACCTAAAAAAGTGAAAAACTATTTAATATATGATCACTTCAAATAATTTTTAATTAAAATGTTCCTTTTATATACAAACTAATGTGTACTTTACAAAGACATGAATGGGTCTGTCAATACATGGATATTTTCAAAATGAGAATGGAGCTTCATGTCCGCAAAAAATTCACCCAATCGCAAAAAAAAAAAAAATCATGTGTGTGCAGGTGAAGAGGGGGGAGGGGTATGGACAATTCTTGTTGATAAGCTGTTTCAAATATTTATATGACTTTCCTACTTATATACATGTACGAGAGGTCGATAACTCCTGAAAGGGGGGTCAAAGGTTATTTCTTAATTGTTTCACTGTATAATTTATTAATAAAAACCCGAGGGGGTTCTGGCTTCTATAACTCCCAACTCCCCCTGCCGAATCTGCCAGTAACACTACAGAAAAGATTTTTTAATTTTTTTTAGGATTGGTTGGAGATTTTACAAGAGTATACCCCTGCTAATACATTATTACATATTGTATTTACAAACAGTCATGAAATTAAAGACAGTCAAAGACAGACATGAAATTAATTCATAAATATTTCATCAGTCTTTCTTTATATTTTTTGCCTGGTAGGACGCATTCATCATCATTTGTCGTCCTTTACACCCTGTGGTGTGTAGGGCAGCAACGAACTTTCTCCACTCTTTTCTATCCTTGGCCAGCCGCGTCAATGGTCCTCAGGTCTGGTGCATTGCTGGACGCATTGGGGGAAATGATTAAATTGTTAAGCAACGAATTAACCTACCGCCCCCTTCCGTCTAAATAGGTGGTAGCATAATGCAACCTTGCATAATTTACCAATTTACATTTCACAAGTTGACAAATCGCAAGTCTACGAATTACGCGAGAGCATCGGCAAAACTTGCATTAACATTTTAGACTTGTCAAATTACCCATGCATGGATAGTTACAACTAACAAATTGTAAAAGAAGAATTGAAAGATTATGAAATTAAGATTTACAATTTACAAATTTAGGTTTACATGTGTACATTTTAAGAATTACAGAGTTGGAATTTTGAACCCGTTGGCTTTTCATAGAATTGGACTCAAACAGACGGCGGGGTAGCGTTTGGAAAAAAATGTTTACAGAAAGACAGACAAACGCACGTTTATATAAGCAGACGGACATACAAGGAAGAAACCGGTTGAACGGTAGGGAACTAATTAATTCGCCGTTCATTACTATATTAATTTGGGACCATTTGCCACCTACATATAGTTTGGTCGTTTGAGAGTGTTCAGATTAAATCCTTCATTTCAAGTAAATTAAAAAAAGCAGTGGTAAGTAATGTCTGTAATAAGAACCTAGCATTGTCCCCATGGATGAGTTGCACCTTGACCAATACTGAATCAGTAATGAACATTTCTGTTTTTCTGTACCAAAACTACTCAGGTGAGTGCTGTTGCCCAATGGCCTCTTGTTGAATATATAAGAAGCGTTGCTTATACAGAAATTTTGTTTCTCTTACACTTTTTAATGTCGTATGAAAGGAGAAAAGCAACCTGACGCCTATACAGATTAACAGGAAAAAATTACTAATCATACTATAGCACACTATGCTTTAAAAAAAATAAAAATCAAGCTGCATGTTATATTAATGCATATTATATTTCAAATTTTGTTAAATTATGCATTAAAATCTTTTAAACAGAAAAATTAAGTTACCCACTATATATACATGTACATGTATTGTTTTCTATATAGACAGAAGAGGTCCTGTTGAAGTGTTTTAAATGAATCTTCCTAGGAAATTAATACATGTTTCACACACTTTTAAGGCATAAAAATATTCACTAAAATAACTTGAAATTTGATAAAACACCATGTTTACAAAAAATAGATCCATCGGGAAAAAACAACGCTAGGCTTTGATTTCGCAGGTTTATATTTCTACATATATTGAACATCTGTGCAGTTCATACAAATCATGACAACTTTACACCGTGATAAAATAACAATTGATGCACAGAGTGAAAAAACTTCAATAAATAAGATACAATTTCCAACAGCCTTTTCCACAGTTTAATGAAATTTGATCACTATTTTTGTACCTTCGTCCTTGTGGTGAGGTAGAGTTTAGGGATTGTTGTTACATTTTGTATGGGTGAGCGATTACACAACAAGTGTACGCATAACCTATTATAAATTTTGTCCTTATTTCAAAACCTAAAATGTATGCATCCAGGTCGTACATAATCGAAATGTGCTTGTCCTTAGCAGTTATTTGCATCGTTGGATTTACTTTCGCCTCTGCCAATTTAGGTATGTGTGTGCATTCATACTTGTATGTAAATCATAACAATTATCAATAATTTCTCATTTGCAATGACTTCCCGATGCACAAATTCATCCGGGATTGCATAAAAAGTATCTTTTTAAGTTAAAAAATTGTTGGTCAATAATTCACGCATTGGATTGAAATTTCTTTGCTTCTGTATTTTCCGTATACTAAATGTATTATGCGTAAATATTACATGGTAAATGATAACCTAGACACACACGCAACATTCCCAACTATAATAGGTAAAAACTAAATTTGTGAATTTCATTCCATGTGTTTGATGAAATATTTATTTAATGCTCATTTCTTTCAAAAAGTTTCAAACGCAGAACGTATATAATACGCATAGTTAAACTGTGCTGTGTGAGGTTTTGATATCTTGAATGCTACAATACTCTCCTTGATTGGGCGAATTTAAAACGGGGCGAATTCAAATTACACTACATAATTTCTTAAACAGAACTTAGATTGGGCGAATTTAAAACGGGGTAAAATTGTTCACAAGTTCAAAAAGGCGAAAATTAGACGGGGCGAAAATAACCCTGTATACAGGGGCGAAATTTTCCCTGTATACAGTAACTATGCGTATTATATACGTTCTGCGTTTGAATCCCGGGTCGCAGTAGGTGCTGGCACGAAAAAGATCACTCCCTGCTCAATGGCCCGAAGTGCCGAGTATAGGACAAAATTTGCAGCTTTCCACCGGCTTTGAGTGAAAAATACTCGAGAGGGACGTTAAACAATATACAATCAATCAATCAATCATATTCAGCATTTTCGAGCTGTACATTTACTCTCTGGAAGTCGTCTTAATGATGAACCAAGTTATAATATTAGGTGCCAAACATATATGTACAGTACATGTATATCCCTGTCACGTCAATGAATGCATAATGGAATATTTTAGACACAAGCTCATATTTGTACCTCATATTTAGTATTTTTGTTTATGCAGGTATTTGAGATTGATTATAAGGAATGTCCAGAACCGACAAAAACATGGACAATTATATATGTACATTGAACACATATCAGTTTTTGATAAAAGTGTACATGTGAAAAATATAGGAAGAGGTGAAGGTTACTCTCGATCAAATCCATACAAGTTAACTCCAGACTTAATGCAAAATGTTGCAGCTTTATGGATTTTGGATTGTATGAAAAAAATAATTGCGTTAACTATAATTACCTTGAATGTCATTTACTAAATAGTAGGTTCTAAAGACGTCTTCAAATAGATATATCATTGCATCGATAGTATCTTAAATGAACCTTTGTGTGTTAACTGAAATATGAGTGTTGATGTTTTTTCAAAAGCTGCGGAAACACATTAAAATTCTCTAGACTCGGTGATGCAGTATGTTTTTGTCCTCATATAAAAAGAAACAGAAACCTATATCCCGGAGATTATGATAATAATTTTTGATAAATATTATTACGTCAAGTTTATTTTTGTTTTATTCAGTCACTAAAAGTCAGATATTTCCGTCATGTAACTTGTGATCTGATGCAGCTCACCAGAAATCATATTCTAGAATTTGAAAAGGTACCCATCTGCATTAAACATAGCTTATCTTTGTCGGTCAATATTAAATAAACGTAACTCTTCATTGGTCAAATACTGCAAACGTTCATAAATTAGCGCCTTCAATGTTTAGCATATAATTCATGGTTGGATCAGGTGCCATGGAGGAGTAAGCATCCTCTATCCTGGACGTATCTCATCTGTATCAGTCGATAATAAACACAAATCTGCATCGGTTACATATTAGACGTATCTCATATATTCCGTCCGTTATAAACGTACGATGTCTATTCTCCGAAGACCACATAAAGGAGAAGGTATTTTTGCCGTTCTTGACCCCTTATTTGAAATTCAACAAAATTGTGATAGCTTGTAGCAAAAAATTAATTTTGATACTTGTTTTAAAACCAGCACTAATTTTGATAAAGGCAGAAGAGACCACAAGATGACCTTTTTTGATGTAAAATTCAGAACACAGTTAAAATTGTGTCATAGTTTGTGTGTAGTTAAAAACTTTTTAAACGAATATATAATGAACGTAGCTTTAATGATACTTGCTTTAAAACATAGCATATATCTGTATCATCATTTATCTGTTGTTAGTTGCTACTATCAAATTTAAATTTCTTCTTGTATGTTTTTTAGACCTACAAGAGGAGCTTATGCGATAGTAATGCGTGGGACATTTTCTGTCTGTCTGTCCGTCTGTCTGTAAAAAATTTTTCAAAACGCTACTCCTCCTACAATTTTAGTCTGATTTCAATATAACTTGGCACACAAGTAGACTACACTAAGATACATAAAATAGTGCATCGGTTTTTGATTTCGATGAACGGTGTTGCCATGGTTAATAAAAATAGAAGTTTCTGAGAAATTTTTTTAAAACGCTACTCCTTCTACAGTTTTGGTCTGATTTCAGTATAACTTGGCACACAAGTCCACTTTATCAACGATGAACGGTGAGAGGTACTAAAAATAGAATGTGTGTAGAAATTCCTTTAAAACGTAACAGACAATTTGAAAAAGTAGACTACACTAAGATAAATAAAATAGTGCATCGGTTTTTGATTTCGATGAACGATGTTGCCATGGTTACTAAAAATAGAATTTTCTGTGAAATTCCTTTAAAACGCTACTCCTTCTATAGTTTTAGTCTCATTTCAATATCACTTGGCATACAAGTAGACTACACCAAGATGCATAAAATAGTGCATCAGTTTCTGATTTCGATGAGCGGTGTTGCAATGGTTACTAAAAATAGACAAAATTCATTTAAAACGCTATATATTTTGGTCTTATCACTTGTATAAACACACTCATATATATCTTTTGTTAGTTGCTACTATCAAATTTAAATTTCTTCTTGTATTTTTTTTTCATTACTTGTATGCCTTGATGGGCCCTAAATTGGTATTAATAAATCTTATCTTATCTTATCTTATCGGACAATACAAACATTAAAAAAATTAAAATTGAAATAGCATCTCAAATACCCTACAAAACACCCTACAAACAATAAAGACTGTGATCAGGGCATAAACACAGCATCCCCAATTGACAGGTGACTCGCTGGGAACCTTGATTTTTTTTTTCAAATTTGCCATTAAAAAAGGAATTGAAGGCTTGAAGAAGGCGTCCGTTTTGAGTAAAACAGATGTTTCGTGCATTGTATTAATCAGCCACAACATTCTGTGCTCATTTTTTGGTATTATTTTGTAAACAGAGATGGAGCCGCTTTCGAAGTACAATTCAACAACCCTGATACGACACGCAAACGCAAAACTCGATCTTCGGTGTCGTTCATCCGAAAGTCTGGCAGCTGAATTGCAGCTTTTGCAATGTATCAATTCAAGCGATTGCAGAAATGTCACTGAAGTAGAGAGTTTGGGTTCAGAGGTCACAGTGAGATTTCAGTCCTTACAGGCCAATGACAGCGGGACATACATTTGCTTGGACCATAATACTACCGAAAACGCGAACATCATACTGAAAGTAGGAGGTATGCAAATAAAATGAAAAGTATCACTTTTGAAAAATTCCATTTAAATTAGAAGTATTCTTCAGACTAACACTGTACTGCAAATTGTAAGGCTAATACTTTCATATCAATCTGTTCTTTATTGTCGTGAGAAATGTTACTATATAACTTACCTTTTAAAATCAATAGACAAAGCTTCTGAAATCGGATGCGGCAAAGATAATGATCTTATTAATACAAACTAAAAAAGTTTCTTTCAGATTTCTTTCAATCTTGGAAATAGAAAAAACAAGAGGCCCATGGGCCACATCGCTTACCTGATAAGCTTTGACCTTTCTGTTCTTTACCAGATTTTCCCCTTGTAATACATATTGTGACCCCACCCTACCCAACTGATCATAATTTGGACAATTTGAAATCTGAACTATGTCAGGAAGCTTCCACATAAGTTTCAGCCTGGCCCAGCGGTTCTTGAGGAGAAGATTTTAAAAGATTTTTTCTATATATTTCTGTGTAAAAATTTGATTCCCCATTGTGGCCCCGTCCTACCCCCGGGAGTCATGATTTTAACAATTTAGAATCTACACTACCCCAGGATGCTTCCATATAAGTTTCAACTTTTCTGGCCCAGTGGTTCTTGAGAAGAAGATTTTTTAATGACCCCACCCTATTTTTGTCTTTTCTTGATTATCTCCCCTTGTAAGGGGACTTGGCCCTTCATTTTAACAATTTAAATTTCACCCAAGAATGCTTTGTACCAAGTTTGGACAAAATTGGCTGAGTGGTTCTTGAGAAGAAGTCGAAAATGTGAAAAGTTTACAGACGGACAGACAGACGGACGGACAGACGACGGACAAAATGTGATCGGCTCATGTGAGCTAAAAATGTTTCTTTACAGTTAAACCCCAGCCTCCAGAAGACTTTGACTGTGTTTTTCGAGATTTGAAAGATCTAAATTGTACTTGGAATAAACCCAAAGCTCAAATTTCAAACACTGTACCGACTTCATGGAATGTCACATTTCGATGGAAGCCATACGGTGGCTCCAAGTTCAGGTGATCATTGAATAGCATCTATAGAAATCTGTCTATTAGTAATATTTCATTTCTTTTTATGAATAGTTTGGAAAAGTAATACAGTTTGATATTTAGTACTTTTATGATATTGAATATTGGTCTTACTGTAGATCATATATTTATTATTTTTGTCAGTTAAACAACAGAGTGCTTTCTTTGAATATTGGTAGGGGAATTACAAGTAAACGTTGCAGCCATTGCAGAAAAATGCATGACCTGTGTCAGTGGATAATGCATTTTTTTCTGCAATAGTTGAAACGTTCATTCCCGTACTTACAAAGAAAAACGTTTTATTTTTCATATTTATATCTGTACAAATTATCATTTAAAAGGGAATTAAAAGGATAAAATACTAAGTATTGTGTTATTGATGTGTTCGCCATCGTTCGTTTCATTGTAGAGGTGATATACATTAAACTGATAAAAGATTTTCGTAAGAAATGAAGGAGATGTATTCAGTAGATGTGAATACTAGTATTCTAATATAAACATAAAACATCCTCCAAAACGCTATATAATTTTTACTCCTATTTTAAGTTATTGAAAATTGTACTTTTATTGATGAAACTATTACTAGTATTTTATTTGATTTTAGTTGATATATTATTGATGATGCACGTGAATATCAATTGGTATTAAGTTTTGCTCGGGTTACCAATGCTACTTCAGAATAAATTAATAATTTCTATAATCATTTGTTACTTTAACACTGTAATTATGATAAATAATAAAAGAGATTACTGATTTATCCTAAAAGAGTATATAGCTTGAAAAAAGCTTTATATTTGATAAATAGTAACTTTTTATTACATGACAGCTAACTCATTATTACGAGATTACTTACTCGTGAGAAAGAGAAACTTGCTATAAATAACAAGATAACTATTTGGTATCTTTTTACCTTGTCAAAAGTACAAAATGTAATTTCGAAGGTTTTTGCTGCTTCTATCAATTATGATTTTTTTCTTGTAATCTTCCAGCGATTTAGCATCATTATGTCCAAATCAGACCATCTCAAATACAGCCATATCCTGTCACTGGTCATGTGACAATAGCAAAACATGCTCCTTTGGGCAGATGCGAAGATACCGAGTATACATACACGGATTGAACCAACTCGGAAATGTCTCCAGAATGTACGACGTCATTCCGGAAAACTATGGTAACTAGCTTATATTTGCAACATACACACTTTATATATATCAAAAGAGTTGTTTTTTTTTTAAATTAAACACTGTACTTTCTGTATTTCAGCAATACTCTCAATTCAGAAGTTGGATCTAAAGCCATCCAACAAATCAATGCTAATTATCGTGCACCTGCAAGAACATATATATCTGTCTCTAGTTGGTAGGATTGTGTTTCAGATTGAAATACATGAACTTCAAGGCGCAGAATCTGAGGTAACTCTAACTTCGATTATACGTAATTGTTAACTACCTGCGAATTTTGGGAAAAAGCCTGAAATTAATGTCTTTTATTAATTTCTTTTTAAAACTAAATTATCATTTAAATAATAGTAATATTTTTTACAGTTGACAAATAAGACACAGTGGATAACAGAAATACAGGAGACCTACAAGAAAAATATCATAGATTTGAAACCCTTCACTGGATACAAAATCTGCGTAAAAACTAAGTTATCTGAAAGCATTGGTCATTGGAGTAATGAAGTCTGTGGCCAAGATGTCACAAAAGAAGCAGGTCTGTTCAGTCTATATCATTTTGAGAGATTCTTTGGATGTCTGAGATTGCTCTGGTCCAAATATGTTTTGTTTAAAGAATTTTTGAGCTTGAATACTGTTCATTAGCTCCATATATTTCATTTCAATGAATTTGATATCAAGCTGCAAGTTAATCAAGTTGCACAGTGTATTTTGTGCATTGCAATTAAAACAATGCCATGTTTAAAATGCTGATCTGTACAATTTTTGTTTTAGTTTTAATTTCATCATTCAAGATCATTTCTTAAAGTTATTTGACAATAATGGATTGGTCTCGTTTGATTTACTTTTATTTTATAGTTCCAACACATGCACCAGAGACAACAAAATGGGCATATTACTTTGAAAAAGAAAGCGGTCGAGTTCGGTTGTACTTGAAGGTTATAATACAATCACGCATACACCTAGCTGAAGTCATTATTTTTAACACTCATGTCAATTAAAGAATTAGTTATGCATTTGGATATCATGCATACACATAATAATGAAAGAAAGATATGTTTAATTAGCCATTCTGAACTTGTTACAACTCGTATGGCTATGTGCAAAAGGGCTATATTTTAAGGGTAGCAATAGAAAAGGAACACAAGATCTCTAGGTTTTAATTCAAGTAGGATTACTATACAAAGAAAAAATTGCACATAAAATCTTTTCAAGTAGTCAACAGGGAAGTTAAATAAAAACTTATATGACCAGAATTTGCTTATAGAATTTGCAATCGCATACCTTTTAAATTTGTGTATGTAAGAAGATACTGTTTTCATTTTTGTAGAAAATTCCTACCAAATACAAAACTTCAGAAAATTATAACTATTTCATTCAGCGACTCGAAAATGGTCAGGTGACAACCAACATTACTGCAAAACCGAACACAACAATAGAAATTCCATCCAGCTGGATTAAGGACAATGATAAATTTATCGTAAGAATTAGGTCGTGTAATGACTTGGGCTGCAGCGACTCTTCCACACACCTTAACATTGACAAAGCAAAAACAGGTAAATTGCACAAGGTAACACAAGGTATATGTGTAAAGCAATCTGTCAATGTTATGAGGCACTTTTATAAATTGCATATTTATGAAGAAAAAAACACGAAACGAAAAAAAGCGGAATAAGTACTTTAAAATTAGAGGGAAAGTACTGAGATGGCTTATTAACTAATCTTGATGCTATAAAAAGTTTCTTTCAAGGCATAGTTCTTATTTTTAATTCAACCCACAACTGCCTGTAACCGACACAGCCTGGCAATTCTTTGTACAGAAAATGGCAACGATTCATTATTTCTTTTGCATATAATTCACTTGCACTTTTGGCGTCAAACAATTAAAAGAAAATAAAAAAAATAACCTTGAAATTATTGATGAATTCATTAAGCATGTGGAGTAGGATTGTGTTGACCACATGCCACAATTAATACTTTTACAAAGTTTATTTATTGCATAATTATTCAGATTTATATTAAGATCTTTAGTTTTTAATAATGGAAAGGAAAAAAAAATAAAGAGTATTTATCATAAATCACTGATACTTTTATAGTAAGGAAGTCATATATGATTGATTTATTCTAAAAGGGTGAATCTGATTTTCTGAAAAGAACAGTGTACCAGAAATGTAAAAAGGAAAATGTCACAATAGTCGAAGACACAGATACTGAACAAATGTAACATACAAAATGTATAAAAAATTTTGTCAGAATTTCGCCCTACCGGTGTAACAGCAATGAAGAATGATGAGAGCGATATGTACACAGTATCCTGTGATGTGAGAGAGAAGTTCCGAAAGAACACACAGTTTACCATTTTCTACTACTGTCGTGGTTTTCGGGAAACTCATACCTGTCTCGTACGTCTTTGTCATATAAAATGGTTTTATCGATAACATTAGAATATCGATTCTACTGTAATCAATTCGGAAAAAAAGTATACTTCAAAATATTTCGTTTTTTAAGGTAGTCCGATCCTCATGTTTAAAAAATTAGCTGTTAAGTAATCAAAAATACTCATTAAAGTATCTCTGAATCCACAAAGTTATGTAAATTTATTCACAGTATTTCTTTAGTTAAAGATTAAAGTTAATCATATTATAAAGGGAAAATTGTCAAATCTCCAATATTTTTGCAGAAAAAGCGAATTGGAATATCAGCAATGCATTTTCTAATTGCAAATTGATCAACAAATATATTTTAGGTTAAAAACCTATCCAGGTATTCAGAGAAATTGTCATAATTTTTATACTTATTTGTTATTTTTTGTCTTCTATTTCCGCCATGTACGATTGTGTGTATTCTATAATACATAGTGAAAAATGCTTTTGCTATCATTGCAAGACACCACAAATCACTTCTTATTTCATATCCTGCTAATAAACATTGGTATCTAAGGTTGGATACAAGAAAAATCTTATTTCTCTAAAACTGTATCAATTTTTTTTCCTTTTATAGGGTACAAATGTCAACTTTTATAAGACCTTTTCTAAGACTTCCAAAAACCTTGAATCTTATAAAGATGAATAAAATGAAAATTATTACTTGAAAAAAATTTAATTTTCAAGCTTCATTTTGATGCATTTCAAATTAAATATTACTTTTTGGAGCTATCCTTCCTGGCTGAGGATTGATATCCTTAATTATATTTGCATTTTACAAGAAATCTTTTTCAAATAAAGTTTACATTTGGTTAGTTAGTTACATTGTCAAGTAAAGGTAATAAAATAAACTGAAAATGTAAAAAGTATTTGTAAATGTAATATCACAGAATTTATGAAGAAGTAGAAATCATGCATACTGAAGAAGAATGTAATGCCAAAATTTCTGTTTTCTTGAAAATGCAACGAAAGAACCCACAGATATCTTAACAATTTTAAACACTTAAAAATGATTTTAACAATCTTCCAGAGTGACTTTAATTGGATAAATAAAACTGGTGCCATATTGCGACAAAAAATCAAAGTTCCAAGTGGCCAATATGGAGATTGGATATTTGGGGTATCATTAGTTGCCAATGACTACACTTCCGGTGGTATTTTATTTGTTAGCTGTTATTCCACTGTCAATAGCAGTTGTGAACAAGTCGGTGTGTCTGAGCTAAAAGAATTGACAGGTAAGTTTAAAAAAAATGTCATTAAAATAAAAAAAAGGAAATGAGTAAAGGGAATCTTTTATTTGCCATCAGTAACAGTATGACGTAAAGCACTTCTGAATTGTTACGTTTTATCCCCTTGCAACGGAGTTGGAAGAGATATACTAGTACGCCTAGTAGTAACGCAATCACGGGGATGTGTTTGCCAGGGTGTGTGTGTGTGTGTGTGTGTGAGTGTGTGTGTGTGTGTGTGTGAATGAGGGTGTTTGCTCGTGGGTTATGTCCTGTGCAATTTTCGTTGGGATCAATGTCGCATGTTACGTTGATATGTAGATATGTTTTTTTTGCGAGGGAATGCGATTTGAGATCTTATTAGTGTTTAGATCTTTGTAAATAGCTACAGCAACCCTTTAACTTTGATGTAAATGAGCAAAATTAACAATGAAAAAAAGTTGTAAACGTAAAAAAATCGCTTCACACGTATTTGTCTTAGTTGAATGATTTTATCTGATTAAAATAATTGTTAGATTGAAAGCCTGCCTAAATATCGGCGTAAAATTTCAGACTCAATTAATAAGTAAATCAAGCAAGCAAAAAATTAAATCAAGAAATCTTTCTATATTTATAATTATAAATCAATCAATCAATCGAAAAAATTGTGTTTTTTTTTTTACTAAAATAAAAAAGAAAATATATCTTTTGTGTTTTTCTTCGTTATTTCAGTTTTTCCAGATGAAGCCCTCGTTGTTGTGCTCATTGCGATCACGCTGACGTTGCTATTCGGTGTGCCTTTGTTACTAAGGTAAACAAAGATTTTCGGTGATATTTGTAAGTAAGTTTTTTTGGATTCATTATTATTAATATATCTTCTCTTATTGAAGTAATGATTTAATCGAACACAGTTATTTGAAGGATTCGCATAATTGTAGATACTTGAGGAAAAGGTACTGTCAAGAATTGAGAATAGATCTACCTGAAATTTTTCAGAAGGTAATATCGTGATCTGTTTCTATCTTATTCTTATCAGACATACATCAATCATCAAATTAATCGACAGCTTTTTGATCCAGATTCGCAAAAATAAATCGATGTAAAAAAAATCCAGATTTAAGGTTTTGATAAAATGTGTTTTTGTAGAAATACAGGAATGACGATATTAGAAGCACATTGGAAACTGATTATATATCAAGGACATACACTAGTAGTGTTAATGATCAAGAAGGCATATTGATCAAATGCCAAGAGGAACAGAAGAACAATGGTGACCACGAAATGATTTTCATTAAGGGTTCTGATTCAGTTTGCAAAGATGAGAAACGCCGCTCATTGAAATTAAGCTTTGATTCTGGAGTAACAGATTTAAACCACGCGGTCCACACTCCAACAAGTGATTGCAGTTCGGAACAAATTATGCGTAATGTAACGTCGCAAGAAAGCTTAAATTCAGTATTTGAACAGAATAATGAAGAAAGCAATGACGACAATGAAATGAAACCAGACCTTAAAAAAGTTGTTGAAGATCATAAATTTTCTGAGGAAGGTGAAACTGAATCATTGCTACCATCTGGGTATGCAAAAATGACATACGTACAGTGTAATAATGATTACTGTGTAACTTGTGGTGGAACAATGACATATTGTGAGGAAAAAGAAATCAATGATCTCGAAAGAACGGCAATGAATTTAACGTTTGATTGCAGAGACAAAGACTGCACAGAAACTGTTGAATTGATTTCTGGATATGTGTAGGTTGTTGAGTAAATGATGCGTATATGTCTCCAAAACGGTGAATAAGAGAAAAAGTTTAAATATAATGCCTGTTTTTTTAAAACTGATACACTGTACTAAAAACTTAAAAATTGAAACTTTATATACTTGTACAATGTATATAAATGATATGGAAATATATTTTTTGCAATCTTGTTTTTTAAAGGGACGAAATGAAAAGGCTGATTAAACCAAGTTACTCTTGATGACATTGAAGTAAGAGTAATGAGTTGAAATGTAAAATTATGCATTCTTGTTAAAAATAGCGAATGAGTTTTTTTGATAATGAAATTATGCACCACAATTATGCAGAGGTGAACCTCGAGGTTTTTATCTGAATATGACAATCTAAAAAATAATATGATATCAAGCCTATATACCTCACGGTACATGGTACGTTTTTTCTTTTAAAAATGAAGTTCTCTTTATTTGGATAATATTGAAACATACTAGTACTCTATGTCATCTTTTTTTTAAAAAAAGAAAAGCATTCATACTTTGTACATTTACAATGAAAAAACAGATACATTTTTATATGTCAGTTTGTGAAATATTCTTGTAAATTGATGTACGTTTGTTGTCTTTGTATTTCATAGATTTTGTATACTTATTTTGTGTGTTAGTTGTACTTTTATAACCAAATAAATTTTCCATTAAATGTTCAATCAATTTGTTCATCACTATAATGTAGTAAAACTCTCATTTATCACTCTTGATGCTGTGAATAATACCTTAAAATGCATGTAGATTTTGATTTATATACTGGTGAGTATTTGCAGACTATATTATATTGAAATGTATTAGTCATTATGTATGGTCACGACTAATATAAAAAACCATAACGCCACAGTTCTGCAGCTAATTACACAACTGAATGAATTTTTAAATCATAGTATTCATCTACAAGTATATATTCAGCGGCTATAATTTGCCCGAAAACAGAATCAACATAGCTTTTGAAACCTTTTATTTTGTTTTAATAAAAAATTCTTGCTCAGTGCTTATCAAGATTTTTTTAACTCCACTTTTTTTCCTTTCAAAAAATTTATTTTTCAAAAGAATATATCAGATTTTCCGGATTGCATATTTCAACGTGTTATGCACTGAAGCAAAAACTGTAATTTAATATGTTTTCAATTAAAAAAAAGAATGCCACTTCAGATTAAAAACAACACGATCTGGAGTGTGTAATACATGTATAGTCTTTTATTTCTCAACTATTGCATATGAAGCAAACATACATTTTTAAAAAAGGAATTCCCTACTACCAGAAAAGGTCAAGAAACCAAAGCTACAATATCCAGTAAGTCTTCAGGGTTTCAACAATCAAACACGATAGAAAAAACAAAAACAAAAAACAGAGATGCCATCTTATGGAGTAGTAACAATGATACTGCAATTTTAGAACGTTTAAAATGTCGTGTGATGAATGGCATGTTTATTCCATATCATTGACAAAACTAGAGTAGGCTTACCCTACCATGAAACTCGAAACTTGCACTTCTAAAGATGCATGGCATGATGCATATCTGCTTAACACAGGGTCACAGGGTTTGTTTACAAAAAATGGCAGAGTAATTAAATGAGATCACAGAGGAAAAAAGAAGTAAAATGTCTCTGAAATGGAGCATGTATGTATGTGTGAAAATTAAAAATCTTTATAAGGATTGGTTCCGCTGTATAGCACATCAACTATACCTTCTCCTCCCCATACACTGACTAAATTATAAATGTCTGAGACTGATACGAGGTGGTACTAAATGGTAACTGTTTTAATATATCATTTATTATATGTCGTTTGCACTTTTGTTCATAAAAATCTTGAAAAACAAATGAGTTTATAAATGAATTTAAAAATGCATATGAAGCTTTTTGGTTAATCAATCAAGAAGATCCAAAAAAAAAAGTATTTTGCAATAATGATCTTTTCTCTGATAACAATGATCTTCTTGTCTTAATAAAGGCTCCTAATTTCTAAAGAAAAACAAATTATCTATTTGGCTTGAATTAAAAGTGCAAAGTGGAATCTGAAGATTATGTGTTCTTCAATGTTTTCAAATGTTAGCAGCGAATCTTTGAATATTTTAAGTAAATGTCATAAAAGGCTTGTTTATAAGCTACTACTGACCTTAGTTACATTGCATTTATTATTGAAGACGTGTAAACGCAATTGACTTATGAACTGTACTCAAACTCCTTAATATGATGGAAAAGAAAGCTGATAAAAAGGTTAAGATGAAATAATTAATTTACAGTTGTTTACTTTCTGTAGTCTGTTTGCAATTATAATTTAATATTTAATTAAAAAATATACATATAAGTAATGTATGAAATATAACGATGGAGATAACTAACAGTATTCAAGATCAAAAGTCCATAAAACAATACAGAATAGGAGCAGAGTAAACACGGACCTCCAAAACATCAGAGGTGGGATCAGTGTACTATAAACACAGGGAATATAAGAAACTTTTTAAAAATTATTGTCATATAACATTGACATATATTATTATACAATCACGTAAACATATATGTATCAAAATTGTGGAATCAAATATCGAGAATAACAATTTTATCATATAAAATATAAACATATGCAGGTACATGTATTAGCTATTATGAGATAATGCGTGAAAAATTTTTCTCACAATTTAACTTTTACTAGTATGTAATTTTTCAAATAATAAAATGCTTTCATTGGTTGTAAGTACAGGAATTAATGTCGCAGCTGTTGCAGGAAAAAAATATGGAATCCGGATAGGACCACGCAGTTGACTATCGCAGCATCGAGGTTTGGGTCAATAATGCGATGGTGCGATAGCGCGATGAAGCCCTATCCGGATTCCACAAAAAATACGTCAGCTGGTTATGTAACCTTTTTCTGCAATAGCTGTTCTAACAATCAAACGAAGACATTTTATTATTCGTATTTACATCTGTATTAAAAAAAACAATTAAAGTAGAATTAAAATGTTAAAATTGTATTAAAGATGAATATGTCATTGTGTGCATCACTGATGGAACAGCATTTATTTAAGAACTCTATGCACGTGGTTTGCTCAACAGTGTCGTTGATGCACTGACAATGGTCGTCATTAAAAATAAGTGAAAAAATATCCAGTAGATGTAAATATCTTTGAATGTTTCTCATTGAATTTTTATGTGAACATCATACTGGTGATGATAAAGATGGAGCCGTGCTATTAAAATGTGACAAGGGCAACAGCATAAACGATAAATCTTTAAAATATGCTATTATACCGACATAACATGCAACCTTGTTTAATTATTCCAGCAATAAATGACACCTAGAGAAAAATGGAGAAAAAGTCAAGGCATTGTCTATTTACATTGTAAATTTTGCTTTGCATATGACTTGCTCTTTGAGGTGTCAAATTCGAAGATTAAGACCTGAATAAAAAACAGGAGAGGCCAAAATGCAAAACGAAATCATCTTTCCAAGGAGTGAATATTGAAATAATTCTTTCAAGGAATGTTAAAACAACAAACATCTTGATCTTTCTAATTTTCTGTCATCTTTTTAAGTAAAATGGCAGGCTTAGTATCAAGTAAACCTTCACATTATTGTTTTATTGTACATTATAATTTTTTTAACTACTAATGTAAAATGTTTAAATCTAGTATTACTTTTTTGTTATGTAACAAAAATCATAAAAGAATATCATTGCAAGTGGTATCTTATGTAGAAAAATGTTAATTTTTAAAATTAAGTATGCTTGCGTCAAGAAATTTTACACTTTCAAAGCTAGGTATACTCTGTTCCTTTTTTACACAATGGAGTATTACTTCACACTTTTTGTGACGTTAAAACTAAATTTTAATAATATTCCCCACTTTCAACGGGGGACTAATTGACAGTTTTAAGAGATAAAAATCACAAGGTGTTCACAGGTAACACTTGCAGATAAGAAAAATCATACATTATGTAAATTTTTCTTTGGATATTTTCTTCGTTCAAAAATGCAATGTAATCAATTTTTGTAAATCTGTCAACAAAACTTGTCAAAATACACATAAAATTCCACTTAAGTGTAAATGATTTGAATAAATTACTTATTTCAGAATGATTTGTTATTTAGAAAACAAAACTCTAAGTGACACGTGTAATCATATTTTAATGAGTTATTCAAGCAAGTCATTGTTTTTCGTTTATTCCTTTAATATTTAAAAATGGAACAATAGTTTTTTCAAATCTAAGTAATTGTTTTTTGTTTATCCTCTTTTCGATATCATCTATTAAAATTTTCATCTCTTATTTTAAAAAAAATTTTGTTTGTAAAATCTCATTGGTTGATTTCCACAAAAGGAACGCAAAACATTTATATATAATCACATTTTTAAATCATATCCATGCAATCCCCTCATTTCCAGTCCTCAGAAACCATGGAAAATTTCATATTTAATAAATGTACCTTCAGCTTTAGACAATTACTCGTTCTTACCTCATGTAAACAAACATCATGGCTGCTTGATCTATGTATCAGTTATTACCTCCCCTCCTTCCAATCACTTCCGTTACTACGGTTGCAACACGATTTTACATCAAAAGTTGTTTAATTATTTTAAATTTAAATTATAAGGAATGACTCTTTTCGATATCATCTATTAAAATTTTCATCAGATCTTATTTTATAATGTTTAAAAGTATTATTTGCGCCTTCTCGCAGATGATTTATAAAACCACATAGTATTAATACACAAAACGTCCAGTTGAGCATGCAAAATCTAAAATTCAAAATTTAAAAAAAGGCCACCCATCAATCTCATTGGAAGGAGTGAAATATAACCAAAAACAATAACAATGTTATAAAGTCTATTGAATAAAAAGGCATTGGAAGCAGAAAAAACGTACCTCTTAAAACACCAGAGGTTTAATCAGATACAATGGAGTAGTAAGCATACTCTGTTGACCTTTCTTCTCACCCGCCATGTGATCCTTGTTATGAGTGTGTAAAAGGGAAAAACATTATAAATGATTAATTTTTTATAAATAATAGTTTTACAATTCAATTGTACGAAAAATATCAGGCAACATTCGAATTAATGATAGAATGTATCTGCTAACAAAGTCATTATATTGACCATAAAGTTTGCGAAATGTCTATTTAAAAAGTTAACGTTATTGGTAATTGTATCATTTACACAACTTCCATATAGAAATCTATTAAACTAGTAAATAGTTCTAACTGGAAAAGGAAACCACTTACATTCTACTCTCTTGGTTTGAAATTTATTACAATGGTATAACAATTAATCTCCAATTTTAGATAAACCTTAACTTAGAACAAAACCGATATATGTGTCCAACAATAAATCTAATTTGCACTAATGTGTGAAGTACCTAAATTCATTTATATGATTCAGTGCAATCGTTTTGGATCGTTCAAAGATGACGGATAAATATTCATTCCATCTCTAATTTGGGGTTTTCTTTGTTTCTGACACTCCTTCAATGTATGAA